CTGACTCGATGGCACTTCACAACAGCAATCTGTTAATGGGGGAGGAACAACTTAAAAAAAGAGAGTGAAAATGGTCACACAATTCAAGAATGTAATCCAGATCGCTAAATTGTATGTGTAAATAGATACTGTTGAATTGGTGTGCATTTTTACTGTGCATAGTCTCAACAACAGCAACAAAATAAAATTAAGAAAACACTAGTGGGGACAGATAGAGTTTGATGCATATGGCGTCACCATGAATTTGCAATAGCTCACTGCCTACTGGTTTGAAACTGGCCCTTTTGCCCATCAGTGGGACTTATCGGTCTTAAAGGGGCAGGGGGCCAGAAGCAACATCCCTGGGAAGCAGTCATGCTCCTCTTCCGGCCACCCCCACCACTCACATCCAGTCAGCCGTCTTCCTCTTCCAGCCATCCTTTAGCCAGCAAAAAGCAACCAGTGAAGGCATAAGTTATTTTATTGTACTTCACAGATACTGCCTTTTTTTTCTGAATTAAGGTTTGAGGCAACTCTGTGACAAGCAAGACTATCGGTGCCATTTTTCCAACCATATGTGTTCTGTTGTGTGTGTTACATTTCAGTCATTCTCATAGTATTTCAAACATTTTCATAATGCTGTGTGGCACTGTGGGTTAATGCACTGCACTGCACAGTCAGTTTGAACCACAAGGTTCACTTAACCACAACAATTGAACAATTCACAGGCTACAGTGAGTAGTGTGAACCTAACTTCTAGATGCATCGGGAAACTGAAAACATTGTGTGACTTACTTCACTGCCATTTTCACTAATGGCAGCAGTCTGGAACCAGACCCGCGATATCTCCGAGGTATGCCTATGCCTGCCTGTGCAGGGCACTGTGCTGGGTTCTGCCACCCCACAAGGCCGTCCAGTCCCTGACATCACAGAGCTTATTTTCTTGTGGGAGAAACAATCAACAACTTAACAGATAAAGAAACACCATTTCAAGTCACAAAAAGTGCTTTTGAAGACAAACACAAGGGGCTAGACAACAAGGGAAGGGAGATGTGGGAGGGTACTTACTCAAGGTGTCATCAAAGGCTGCTATGGCCATGTGAACTTGGACAAAGTCCTGGATGACACCAGAAAGACAGACATCATGAAAGAAGTCACAAATCCCTCTGGTCAGTGGCTTGGTTCTTACATCTACCCCTTTTTTCTTCCAGAGGCAGGCAAAGTATTCTGAGAACAAGCTGAAATGCACAAAGGCCCGGAATGACTACTTACTGAATCTGGCAGCCAGCAATGCAGCTATAAGCAAATACTACATCCACGATGTCTCGGATCTCATTGATGTGAGTGCCTTGGGGAGTCTGGGACTGAAGGAGGGCTGGCCTTTGCCCTGCTGGAGAGAAATGACAAGGAGGGTTTGGAACCTGGGAGATGAGTCTTACCTCAGGGTTGCTACTCCATGGCTGTGAGGTTGACCTCTGGTGGTACCCTGTATTTGTCTATTACAAATGCAATGAGCTGGATATTCATATCTTTAACATGTACATCCCAAGTCTCCCCCTCAGCAGTAGGTCGTTTACTAGATTTGGGAGCACAGGAGTGAATTACCTTTGATACCCCAGTAAGATAGAGATGTTTACACATTCATATCCCCTCCACCCCATGCTCAGTCACCTAACTGCACACACACACACGTACACACACACACACAAGCAATTAGAGGGATTGGGCAGTTTAGCAAGTAGAGAAAGGAATACTGGCTCCTAAGTACCAGCTGGATGTCAGAGGAGACTCTGAAACTTGCTCTCCAGCGTAGAGAAGCTAAAGCAAATAGGAGAATTGAAGAGGTCCAAGAGCTGAACAGAAAATTTCAAAGATCAGCTTGAAAAGATAAAACCAGGTACTATAATAAAATATGCAAAGATTTGGAACTAGAAAACCAAAA